TGCAAATAAATAAAAAGCTGTTCCCTGCACCACGGAGCTTGACGTTTCTTTGACAAGTCTGGTCGAGTACTATGTTAGAGGACTGAAATACAACAGAATTGGAATATTTGGCACAGCAGAGGCCGAATCCCTCGAAGCAGCTCGTCATCTGCTGTTGGAAATACTTTGGATTTTGGGCAAGTGATGTAAACCGAGGAGCAATAAAAGAGTGCTGTAGAGTTGCTGCTCCTAAATCCCAACTGCACTTTGCTCAACATGGATGAGGCTGTGTGACGGTCAAATGCTGCTTGGTTGACAAGTGGGCCGGAACAGGGAAGGAAGCAACAGCAGAACCGCCAGAAATGCATGAAACAGCATGAAAATAACACACAGTGACTACAGTGGACACTGTTCACTGTTTTTAACACTCGGTTTCAGCTGTTTGAATGTTACATATAATGTTATATTTGCCCTTCTGGCTGATGGACCAATAACAGCACCAGCAAGAGCGGCCAACACACCAGCCACACCACATGCCCCCTTCAGGAAGATTATGGTTCAACTGCTGTTGAACCATAATCTTCCCTTAAGTTATTCGACTGGGTGAAAAGACGCCACCATCTGCAGTGTAATTAATGCATGAAGGCCAAGAGAAACAATGCAAAGTGAATCTAATAAGCACTGTGAGAAACGAGGGTTTCAGGAAAGCGGTCAAGTTACTGGACAAAACACATGTTATTTGCTATGCAAAACATTGCCAGGGAGCTATAGAGGGGTCTCAGAGCTGTCTTTGTTTTGAGTTTTATTAACATCTATTATGCAGAGGCACCGAATAGAATGAAAGACTTTATATTTTTGCTTAATACAAATGCACTTAACAGAGGTGAATAAACACTGTATTTGTCTGCAAAGATGCTTTAGTTAACAGGAAGCAGTGCCACGTTGACTGGATTTTGTTTTGGGTTATTTGTGTTTTGCTTATTTTTTGACTTCTACTAAGAGATGCACTCACTTTAGGTGGGTGAGGAGGGCTAATTTGGATGCATTTGTACATTTGCAGGAATGTCACACAAAATGGATGTGAAAGCAGGGTTACATTTTCACAACTTTGCAATAAAAAAATTTTGTCGCTAGAAAAAATGAATAATTTTGACTAAAAACTGAATATTGATTTAAAAAAAAATGATTATCATTTAGGTAATAATGGTGCAGCCCTAGGAGAGGTTGTGGGTTAAGTGTTGCATAGTGTGAACTTACATGTTAGCATTTCCATTAACACTTCAAGCTTTAATACTTTTACACATATAAAGTAATATAACAGTGAGTGATTTCTTTGGGCACTACAATGAGCCTATAATATAGTCAAGGCTTTCACTATATTAAGAGCTGCAGTGGGAGCACTTAGGACCTCAGCTTTCTAGCGCCTCTCTCTCTTTGGGTCATCCCCTCCTGCTTTTTTTCTCTCTGCTTTTTCTCCTTCCTGTCCTTTGAACACCAAAATGAACAGAGGCAACGTGTCCCGGGAGAGCAGAGGGGAATCCATCTCTGACAGAACTCACCTTCTGTTATCCTCTCACCCAGAGAGGAGGCAGAGAGGGAGAGAGGGAGGGGTGGAAAAAGACAGAGGCTTAGGGAATAAATGTATATATGAGATGAAGCCAAAAAGGCAAATTTGATATTTTGATATCTTGTTCATTTTAAGATTAAAGGATGGTTTCAACATAAGAGAAAATATTCGCCCGTCTCCTTAGAAGTCCGGTAATACTCTCCTGTCAGCCACTACCGGAGTAACTTATACAGAGAGACTGGAAAAGAGTGAAAACTAGGGGCAGCTGTGACTCGGGAGGTAGAGGATCGTCTTCCAATCGGAAGGTCGGTGGTTCACCTGCCGGCTAGACTGTGTGCGTGATTGGATGAATGAAGATTTTATAAAAGGTCCTTTGAGTGCTCAGTTAGAGTAGAAAAGTACTGCTC